AACCCTGACTTGAAAAAACAAAACAAATCATAACTTGCTAGCATGTAGGGTATGCTGGCCCCCTAAACAGCTCCTCTGGCCTATACTATGAAATTTTATCCTGAAAATCTCCTTTATTTTTCTAGATTTTTGCCACCTTGGAATGCGGTTCTGGCCTCATGGAGCTCCTGAGCTGTGGCTCTCACCTTGATGATGCTGAGCCTGAGTTCTCACTCCTCCTCTGAGAACAGGACTTACTGAGGAGAGGGTGAAGATCAGCGTTGACAAGAAGAGAGGTGTACACTCACAGAGAGGCTCGTGGTGTCCATTGCTCACTCTGTGCCCAGAGCTACAGTGCTGCGCTACGTGATCAGACCAATCTTGGCATCACTGTCAGGCTGGAAGGATCATGAGCTCCATTTTACATGAGATTACGGGGGCTCACTGGGAAGTGAAGTCCCGTGACCAAGTTCACACAGCCAAGACAGAATTCATACAGTCTCTCCCTGGGAGTCAGGTGGTCACGGGGGGGGGGGGGGGACATGCCATGTTTCACAATTTGGTCTAGACAAGAAGCAGCATGGAACAGACAGAGGAAGACGGCCAGCTCACACCGAGGTTCACAGCCTGATCCCCAACGTGTGAGTGTACCACTTAAGAAGCAAAGATTCCTCTCTTCATAAAGTTTATCGGGTCACTCCTAGAGGCTCCACACGGCTGGGACAGGCAGAGCAAGAGGTGATAATCCCACAGCTCCTCTAGTCCTAGGTACCAGAGCAGACATACTAGGCCTCCACAGCAACCCTGCAGGAAGAGTCACCTTAGCTCAGAGGGATGAGGATGGTATCTCTCCAACACTGGCCTCTGCTGACCCCAGAAATAGCCCTGCCCTCTCACAATCCCAGAGACAACCCTTCCCCCGTATCTGTGTGTGATCTTGGAACAAAAAAATTACCTGACCGCAGGAGCCTCCCACCTCGGCCTCCTACCTCTCTGGGCCAATGGTAGACACTGTGCCCTAGTCGAGACAGTCTGTTGACCATGTGCTTCCACCCCCACACTCTCTCTGTTCCCAATTCCTGGACCATGACACAGGAGAAAGCCACCATGGGGTGGCGCCTTAGAGGGCCGGGGTCATGGATCCACAGAAATATAAAAGGCCTCTGACATCCTGGCCAGAGACCTTTTGCTTTGCTGCTCTTCACCTGCCCAGTACGATGGTAATGTCTAGAGGCTAAGTGAGGGACGAATCCCTGTCACCTGTGCTCTTCGGGAACTTGGGGATGGAAGCTGACACCAAGGGCCTCTCCACATGCCCACTGAGGGCATGAAAAATTGAAGCCATTCTATTGGCCAGAACTGCTGCTGTAGAGAGTTTCTTGCCCCTGCTTGAGGTGGTACAGATGAGGGGAAGAGGCTAAGAGAGATTTCAGGGATTCAGGGGTTCAAAGGAAATGTCCTATCTGGGGTACCATAGTCTATGATATGGAGGGGGTTCTGTGTGTGAATGGGGACGGAGGAATCCCTGGACTGGCTCTCCAGTGTGCAACTATGTTATTCATTTAAAGTGTTTCTAAGAGCTAGGTATGAATCTGAGTGGGAGGCAGTACCACAGCAAGCAGAAAATCCGCAAAGAGCCCACCTGTGACACGGCATCAGGAGGGAGGGCTGGGAAGAGACTCAGTAACTACAAAAATGTATTCTAGAATACAGCAAGAAGTGGACATGGCAGGCGCAGAGGAAGAGAAGGATGGGTGGCAGCTTTAAATATGGGTGTCAAGGTTAGACCCATTTAGAGTGTGTTGAACTGAGGCTTGAAGCTGAGCTGGCCCTGCTGACCTGAGCTGGCCCCGCTGACATGTGGAAAACCAGGCTTCCAGGTAGATAGCGGCGTGTCTAGAGTTTTTGAGGACCGAACAGGGAGGTGGGAAAGGCTGAAGTGGGGTGCACAAGGAATTTGTAAGAGAAAAATCTGTGAGGAATCTGATGGGAAACTCTAAATCGTGCATCCGTTGCTCAGCGCGTGGCTCCTGTCCATTTTTTACCTCCGTGCTTTGATGATATCCCAGTGCATGCCCTAATCTCCCTGGGAACCAGAATGTTCCTTGAGGTGCCCGAGCACGGATGTATACTGAGGCCGCTACATCTCCTGGTCTTAGCTCTGCCACACACCAGGCTTTCTCAGTAGACTCGGTGCGGGCACAGGTAGGTCTCACTCCCAGCCCACCTCCCTTCTCGGGGTCATCTGACCATGCCGTCTTGTCTGGTCCCCACCAGACCGTGGCTCTGCCCTGCGCGTGTGCACTGGCTCTGGGTTGCCTAGCGGCGCTCCTGGTGCCACCCAATGGCGCCCTGGAGGATGAGGTCCACCTGCAGCCGATTCCTGAGCCCAGGGCGGCCAGTTGGTTTGCAAGCTTTGGCCAGATCAACAAGTACATGGAGAAGCTCTTCCGCAGCGGGTGAGGCTGATGGAGGAATGGGAGGAGGGGAGTAATCTGGCCCCTCTACTTATTTCCCGGCCTCATGATTTCTGCAATGACGTGTCCCCTAGTTCGAAGAAATCCAAAAGCCACAAGAAACCCTCCAACACCACCAAATCTACCCCGTCGAACATCACAGAACGCCCTCACTTGAGTGTCACGAACCCCCTAAGGAAGAACATCAGCAATCCCCCAACGCAGGAACCCCGTGGACACCTGTCATTAGCCTCCTCCCCTGGCTCCAGGTAGGCAAGTCTGTGCAGCCAGCAGAGGCCTCCAGCTATATCCTTGGGTAAGTAGAAGAAAAGAGAGGGGAAAGCCCTGGGCACTTGAAAGGGGTGCGTTGGTCTTGGGGGAGGTTCCTCTCCAGGCTGGACCTTGGACTCCCAGAGGTCTAACCTGGATCTGACTACCCACAGACCGCTTTAGCCGATGAGCTGTGCCTCTGTTCCTCCCTACCCATGCAGCACGAACAATAAACAGCAATAGCGGGACTGACAAGATGGCTCAGTGGTAAGGGCACTTTCCACTAAGCCTGTCGGCCAGAATTCCATTCCTGATCTCATAAAATGGAAGAAAGAACACATGTATCGTGGCTTGTGTGTACACACACGTCATGCAGACACACAATAGCAATAAAGAAATGGATAGGTACATTTTAAACAAGAATCTCTATTGCTTCCATGACTTCTGTGGTGGGAAGGGCCTGTCCTCCAGTAAGGAGGGCATCCTGTCATTCCTCTTGTAGGACAAACAGATCTCAGCCTAGGTTTTTTCCTGCATCTCTCTGCAACCTCCTCACCCACCTTCCAACACCTCACCCGGGATCTACTACTTCCAGGGCGACCAGCTGTGACTCAGAGAAAGATGGAAGAGTTGGTTCTAGAAACTTCAAAATAGGGGCTTCAGCCAGACCTGCTGCCTGCCAAGGTTCGCCGAAGAGCAGGACAGGCTGGAATGCTGGTCTAGCCTGTGGAGGTGGCAGAAAATCAAACACGGAGGAGTAGAGTTGGGGGGGAGTGGCCCCTCCTACCTCGGGTTCACAGTCCCGGGAGTGGGGAGACATGATCGTGTATGTTCCTGAAGCCTGGCCATCAAGTAGACAGCACACACTTCTCCCTATCACCCAGCCATCAAACCCAGGTGTGTGTGGAACAGCTTCCTAGTTCTGCCTCTATGGGTGCTGAACTTTCCCCATTAGAACCCATCTCAGGCTGAAGAGGTGGCTCGGGGCTTAAGAGTGCTGACTGCTCTTCCAGAGAATCCAGAGATTCCAAGCACCTACACGGGGTCTCACAACCGTCTGTAACTCTAGTTCCAGGAGATCTGAAACCCTCTTCTGGCCTCTCAAGGCACCAGGCAGACACGTGGTGCAGGCAAAACACCCATACATATAAAATATAAATAGAAACCATCACCTAAGCTACCAGGGAAGGCTTTGGGACACCAGGCTCCAGTACTGGAATTCAAACCATTCTCCTGCTGAAACCTCCTACATCCCCTAAGTATCTGCACACCCCTGGTCTTAAAGAATCAACTTGAGCCAAGCGTATGCAGTATAGCTGCATCTTGTACAACAAACCTTTGGCCTTTTAGGGCAGGTTCTGCTATCTGGTCATTCACACTCAACATACAGGAGCAGAAAGTCATTGTCATCAAGGCTAAATGCTGAGCCCAGCACCAACCCTACCAACCCCGGCCCTTAAAACCCAGCCTGTGGCAGAGATGAGAGAACCCATTCAGGGGATGTCTCGCGTCTTACCTTCCCCGTGACTATCCCTACCCACAAACATTCCCAGAAAGGGGAGTCCAGCTCACTCTCTTTCACTTTACACACACACACACACACACACACACACACACACACACAGTATCTTCATCTACTCAGGATACCTGGTATGGGTAGATAGTCTACAGGGATTCCTCAGGTAGTACCTGAGTCTTCCTTCCCTGCCCCAAGAACCAAAGATTGGGGGACACATTATCCTACAGCAGTAGCTAAATTTCATTCTTAGTCCGCCAGTTCACTACCTCTCAGAACAGCCCAGTTTCTCTAGAGTTCTAGAGAACAGTTCTGAGACGCACTGCAGACAATTGGCCAACCTCCCGCCAACACTAAGCCTCTGAGCTCTTGCCCCTGCCCTATTCCAAGGCCACTTTGATAAAAATGATTCCTCTCCCACTGCCCAGGTTATTGGAAGTAGTCTTGGTACATTTGGGAACAGGGCTGGCCTCAAGTTGAGGAGCTGGATGGTTTAGGGGTGCTGGGATGGGAAGATTAAGCTTAAGACTGTGACATCACAGACCTTTGTGAGAGGAATCTCACTTCTCTCTAGACCATAACTTGCCCCTCTCTGAAAGGGATGAACTGAACCCGAATAATAATCTGAGTGTATACTCAGGATTATTATAACTCTCCTACCCCCAGCTCCCCTCCCCCGCCTCTCTGACTGTGAACTTTACCTGCTCCTGTCTCTATAGGTCTGTACACACACACACACACACACACACACACACACCACACACACACACACACACGCTATAATTTTAATTTGCTTTATTTAGTTTGCAAGAGAGCAGGTAGTTACAAGAATGCAGGGGAGAGAGCTGGACCTGTACTGTCCTGCAGCCACAGACAGGAGACAGGAGGGGTGCTTCAAGTCCACTGGGCTGAGCTCCCTGTAAGGAAAGAAGAGAACCCTGAGGAAGGACAGTCCTTGAACCCTGAGACTTTGTTTTCTTTCCCCCTCCTCTGGATCCCTCCTTTCCAGACCTACCTTCAGCTCCAGGATGCAGAGCATGGAATCAAACCAACAGGGGGGCTGGTGCACGGGGAGAGCTGCATTCCAGGAAGTCCACCTGTGTTCTCCTCGGCTCTCTTCCCATACCTGGGAAGGAAGACGGCTGGGATAAGTATAGTTCCCAGGTGTCAGTCACCTGCTTTGGTGACTTAGGCACTTTCCTGCCCACAGCACATGGACCTAAGCCACTTGGTAGAAATAGTTTTTTTCTCAGAGCAGGCATAGAAGAAACTGGGATAGGGGCTAGGGTTAAGAATCTCTCTCTCTCTCTCTCTCTCTCTCTCACACACACACACACACACACACAGCCCTACCTAGGCCTGGTCAGTGTGTTGATGTATCTGCGGAGCTGAGTTTCATATTGAGCCATCTGCTCCGGTGTGGCATAGTCCCCTGGGTACATCGGCTCCAGTGGGGCTCCCCAGGCACCCTGCAGGGGCTGCAGCAGCAGAGCCACCCAAGTGGATATGAGAAACAGGGAGAGGCAGCAGTATCCGATGGCCATCTAATGAACAAGGAAGCAGAACACGGCCCATCAGCAGATCCTTCTGTGCCCAAGGCCTACGTGTCCAGGCACCACCTGCCCACCACACATTTCTTCAAGTCATGCTTGGGGACAAGGACAGATGCAGGAGCCACCAGCATCTATCACCTTCCTTCTCTAGAAAACAAGGACACCTCCACACACATACCCCTCAAGCCAGCAGCCAGAGGACCCGTGCCTTGGCAGCATAGAAAAACATAGCAGAAGAACTGGGTGTGGGGGCTGGATACACATAACTTAGGACATAGATGGCTCTGAGGATGCAGGAATGGCCAGAGCTGGTGGGGACCACAGGGTGGGGGGACACAGAATTAACTTGTAAAGCAAAGGGACAGAAGTCTATAACCGCGTGGGTCCTGCTTTTGACTGACAAGTTTGTCCAGATGCAGAGAGAGACCCAAGAAGAACCTTAGGTCTCTTGAGGGCTCCAGCCCTACAAAGCACCAATTCTGACCCTCCATCACCAGCCTCAACCCGAGGAGTCCCCAGAGGCAGCACAGGATAGGATGAACTCACTTACCCTGTATCCTGATCAAGTGAGTGTTGGGCCCAGACACCTACCTCCTGCTTGATTGGTCTCCCTGCCTGTCGCTGTGCCCCTTTATAGTCCTCAGCACCCCCAGAGTCTCCGCCTCCTGTCAACCTTTTTCGCTGCCAGCCTTCACCCCCCCCTTTTGCTCTCTCCCTGGTATCTGAAACACGGGCACTGCAGCCAGAAATAGGAAGGCACCTGCCAGTGTTCTAGGTGTCAGAGTAGCACAGAAGAAAAAGCTGGACGGTGACCAAGGTCTCCTGTGGGGTCCATTCCCAGCTTTGGACACCAGAACAGACTTGATTCATAAATGACAGGATCCTGACATGGTAACCCATGGTTCTAATCGCTGGCCTCAAAACACCCTCTCTAGAGACAACCCCAGTCCCCAGTGAGCTTCCTCAGGGTATGGATTAAAAACTGAATGAAGCACTAGGTTTCACTTCTAGCGTGAAGGATAGAAGTTGCCCTTCAATCCAGTGTACAGCTAGGTCAAGGAAGGGACAGAGAAGGTGTCTCAGATCCTCAAGCCACTTGGAAGGGAGTGGAGAAATCCATTTGATGCGTGCATAGAATGCCAACTGAGATCCTGTGGGCCAGAGTTCAGAGGACACAGGGTTCGTGGGGAAAGGACAGTTCCTGGTAGCTGTTTCCTTTCCCAGCACAGAGCTCTGTCCCAGGGGAGTGCTAAAAACCAGCATCACGTATAAGCTTCAAGATGCCAAAAAAAAAAAATTGTTGTCCCTCTGAACCCCTACAAGGGACCCTATTTGACAGACAAAAAAGGGAGGAAGGCTCTCGGAGGAGGGAACGCTTGTCCAAGACTCAGTCAGCCTTCAGTTCCTCCCCTGAGAGATTCTTCTGGTGCCAGTGCACACCAGGAGAAGCCACTGCCCTTTTATGTTCAGTTGCCTTTTTCCAGACGGACCTCCACCCTGCTCAAGCCAAGTCCAGTCACCGGCTCTATTTATTTTGATGCCTGTGAAGAGAGCAGGGGCCTCTCTCTCTCCTAAGGTTCTGCTCTCAGGACTGAACAACAAGAAGCATCACCGCGGGTCCTGGGAACGCAGGAAGTGATGAGAGGGGAGAAGGTGATAGCAGGCGTCTATCGTGGTGAGGTTAGAGGTCAGATAGGCCTAGGTCCAATTGCTGTCCCTGCCACTGCCCACCGGTCCTGGGAGCATAATCCAATTAGAGCTTCTGGGGTTCGATTTCAACTGGGCTCATTGCGCTCACCCCCAGACAGGGAAAATCAAGGACACTGTTCCTCTCAGCTCTCATTTACGGTAGCAAGAAGAGCACCAACCGCTCAAAGTAAATAGAGTTCTTTTCTTAGCCAGCCTGGCCCCTTCTCCGGGCTTGGGTTTCCCACTATGCAAAACCAGTGGCGAGTTTCTATTTGAGCCTCCACTCTGGCCCTGAGCGACCACGGCTGCCACCAGGGGGCGCCTGACTCCGGCGCCGCTTTTAAGGATCCGAGTTTCCAGGGGCTCTGAACCTTATGTTCTGGCCTCTGCTGCAGGTGAAGGACCCTCACCAAACAGACTGTATCCGGGGACTGAGTCTGGTGTGGGAACTATTTACAGTTTACCACGCAAGTCACCCAGCTTTGCTTGGTCCCAAGAAATCACAGCTGCTCCTCAAATGTCAACCAAATAGATTATTGCAATGACAGATTCCCAGGGTCTTTGCAGGAGTAGTAATGACAATCCAGGAGAAAGTAGTATCTGTGCCTTCTAAATATTATGATCACATCTGGAACACAGAGATAGCTCCTGCTGGCCTTTGTGAGTTCCTGCAGCGCTTGCATAGAGCTTCCAAGAAGACACACATGCTCACCTGCAGACTAACCAAGACGCTAGTGGCATCTTACTAACCACGTGCTCTCTGGACAAGGAAGATGGCTACGGGCCAGTGTGATAATGAAGTTAGGAGAACAGCCCAGAAACATGAGGGTGAATGAAGCAGGTGAAGGAAGGAAGGAAGTGCAGAGGTCCCACATACAACCTGCAGGACAAGTGTTTGACCAGAATCCTGTCCTCCATGACACCCTGTCCTGGCTGTCTTACCTCAGCCTCTGCTGCTCTCAAAGCACAGGCCAAGAAGAAGTCACTCACAGCACATGGTTTTGTTTGATTTTGTTTAGTAGTGTGTGTGGTGTTGAGGGTGATGAGTATGTGTGTGTTGGGTGGTGAGTATGTGTGTGTTGGGGGCTGAACAGGCTGGCCAGTGAGCTCCAGGGATCCACCCATCCACAGCTCTTACACCGGGATCACACTCATGTGACTACCTTCCTGCACGAGTGCTGTGGATTTGCCCGGGTCTTTACACGGATGGAAAGTACTTTACCAACTGAGCCATCTCTCCGGCCCCCTGTTTGTAATGTTTGAGGTACATATCACTACATAATTCAAGCTAGCCTTGAAAGTTGTGATCTTCCTGCCTCAGCCTCCCAAATGTGTCATTGTGCCCAATTTGCATATATGTCTTAGGGACCTCAGAAGGAAATGAGGAAGAGGGCATTCTTCAAAGAGCTCAAAGGCAAAGAAGAAGGCTCATGCAACTTTTTATTTGCTTTCTTTTAAAGACAAGGTCACTAAAATAGGGAAGAAGCAGGTACAGCCATCCTTCACCTAGGACTATATTTCAGATCCTTCCCCAAAACATCCCTCAAGCTCAGCAGGGCCCAAGTTAAATCCCCAAAACCCACAGCAGAAGGAAAGAACCAACTTCTAAAAGTTGGCCTTATACTTTCACATGAGTACCATGTTACACAGGTGCGCATGAGCGTGCGCACACAAACACACACACACACACACACAACCAAATCAATACCATAGTACTATGCTGTGTGTGAAATAATTAGCTAATGGTCTAACACATAAAGAAGTGCTGTTTGGGGTTGGAGAGATGGCTCAGTGGTTAAGAGCACTGACTCTTCTTCCTGAGGTACTGAGTTCAATTCCCAGCAACCACATGGTGGTTCACAACCATCTGTAATGAGATCTGATGCCCACTTCTGGTGTGTCTGAAGAGAGCAACAGTGTATTCACATACATAAAATAAATAAAATCTTTGAAGAAAAAGAAGAAGAAGAGGAGGAGGAGGAGGAGGAGGAGGAGGA